ATAGAATGAAGCAAGACAGCCATGGCTCACAGGAGGAGCATGGCGGTGGGCTCACAGGAGGAGCATGCAATGTCGAAGCACCATGGTGTCTGCATAGTCTGTGCTTCAGGCTCAGTGGGGGACTCACAGCAACATCAGAGCGGTGCATTCACAATAGAAACGCACTGGTGGGCTCACAGGAGGAGGCATGGCAGAGAATGCGACATAAACAATTCGCTCAAAGTGCTGCGGTGTCTGCATGCTGGGTGTTTCAGGTTATGGCTCAGCAATGGAGTCCAATCAGGAGCACGGTGGGAGATCACTGCAGGAACAAGCGGCAGACTCACAGGAGGAAAACAGCGACAGGCTCACAGGAGGAACATGGAGGAGAATGTGACGATGATGCATTGGTCAAAGTGCTGTGGTGTCCGCATGCTGCGCCGGAGGGATGGTAGACCCGCATGGCCTGATCACATGGTGTGACACAGCATGGGATAGCATGGCATGATTGCATGGTGTGGAATGGTATGGTATGGTATGGCATGGCATGGCATGGCATGGCATGGTATAACATGGCATGGAAACAGATGGCACATTGAAACATTGAATCCGGTTACAAAAGCACTTTCAGCAATGGTGACATGGGAATGCTAGATTGCAGGATAATCAGAACACCTGAAGAACTTCCTGAACGCCTGAAGATTCACCTGAGAGCGAAACCATGAAGATGCCGGCCGCCATGGGCAGGTGGGACCAGGCGACGGTGGAGTGGTGGTGAGCGCGAGGGTCTGGGAGAGCAGCGGAGGAAGGGTCACTCGCCCACGTGCCTAGCATCACTGGCAGAGGAGGGAGGGAGGGAGGCAGGGAGGGCGGAAACAAGGGAGGTCATGAGCTGAGCAGGTGGGACCAGGAGACGGTGGAGTGGTGGTGAGCGCGGCGGACAGGGAGAGGAGCGGAGGAAGGGTCACTGGCCCACGTGCCTAGCATCACTGGCAGGGTGGGGGGGAAAGAGAGGGGGGGAAGGGAGGGTGTTTACATAAGCTGAGAAAAAACAAAATGAAGACGAGACCATAAAGTGCCGCATCAAGGTCAGCCTCAAGCCGTTACTTTCTGGCCTGTATTTTGAGACCATCCAAAAGCCTCTCTCTGTGATCAGCCTCGAGTGCCCTCTCTCCCTCGCCCGCAGCAAGGTCAGCCTCAAAACGTTACCTTAGACTAATGCGGGCGAGGGAGAGAGGGCACTTGAGGCTGGTCACAGAGAGGGGCTTTTGGATGGACTCAAAATGCAGGCCAGAAGTGTGCTGCTGGCGACACCAGAGAGGGCAGCATTGGTGAGGCGAGCAATGGAGCGCATTAGCACTGTGGGGATGATGAGAGCTAGCAATCGAAGAGAGGTAGGAGATACCAGAGAAGAGAAATGTGCTAAAGAAATACTGGAGCAGCAAAGGAGCCAGGAAATACCGGAGCAGAGCAGAGTGCTGCTGGCGACACCAGAGAGGGCTACGTTGGTGAGGCGAGCGAAGGAGCGCACTAGCACGGTGGGGATGACTAGCGCTAGACTGGCCGCTATCACGAGGTGCCTGCAGGGGAGGCACGGAGAAGAGAGGACGGGAGGGAGGGAGAGGGGTACCAGTGAGGGGAGTAAAGGAGCGCACTAGCACGGTGGGGATGACTAGTGCTAGACTGGCAGCTATCACGAGGTGCCTGCAGGGGTGCGGGGCGTGGGGAGATGGTGGAGATGATAGGAAGAAGGGATAATGGGGGAAGGAGTAGTGAGATTGGTGAGGTGCACAAAGGAGCGCAAGAGCACTGTGGGGATGACTAGCGCTAGGCTGGCAGCTATCACAAGGTGCCTGCAGGGATGTGGTGGGGAGACAGATAGAAGAGAGGATGGGAGGATGGGGAGAGGAAGGGTGTGAATATTTCAGGGGATTAAAGGAGTGCATTGGCTTGATGGGGAGGGAAGGAGTGAGACTGGTGAGAAAACATGAACACTGATGCATGCACGAGGTGGGGATGGGAGTAGAGGAAAGCACACCATCTGAACGGAGGAGCACGTCGCTAGCTACCAGTAAGAGAAGATAGAGATCCGTTCACAAAGAGCATATTTCATCCTGGGGTTCACAAAGAGCATATTTCATCCTGGGGTTCACAAAGAGCATATTTCATCCTGGGGTTCACAAAGAGCATATTTCATCCTGGGGTTCACAAAGAGCATATTTCATCCTGGGGTTCACAAAGAGCATATTTCATCCTGGGGTTCACAAAGAGCATATTTCATCCTGGGGTTCACAAAGAGCATATTTCATCCTGGGGTTCACAAAGAGCATATTTCATCCTGGGGTTCACAAAGAGCATATTTCATCCTGGGGTTCACAAAGAGCATATTTCATCCTGGGGTTCACAAAGAGCATATTGCATCCTGGGGTTCACAAAGAGCATATTTCATCCTGGGGTTCACAAAGAGCATATTGCATCCTGGGGTTCACAAAGAGCATATTGCATCCTGGGGTTCACAAAGAGCATATTTCATCCTGGGGTTCACAAAGAGCATATTTCATCCTGGGGTTCACAAAGAGCATATTTCATCCTGGGGTTCACAAAGAGCATATTTCATCCTGGGGTTCACAAAGAGCATATTTCATCCTGGGGTTCACAAAGAGCATATTGCATCCTGGGGTTCACAAAGAGCATATTTCATCCTGGGGTTCACAAAGAGCATATTTCATCCTGGGGTTCACAAAGAGCATATTTCATCCTGGGGTTCACAAAGAGCATATTTCATCCTGGGGTTCACAAAGAGCATATTTCATCCTGGGGTTCACAAAGAGCATATTTCATCCTGGGGTTCACAAAGAGCATATTGCATCCTGGGGTTCACAAAGAGCATATTTCATCCTGGGGTTCACAAAGAGCATATTGCATCCTGGGGTTCACAAAGAGCATATTTCATCCTGGGGTTCACAAAGAGCATATTGCATCCTGGGGTTCACAAAGAGCATATTGCATCCTGGGGTTCACAAAGAGCATATTTCATCCTGGGGTTCACAAAGAGCATATTTCATCCTGGGGTTCACAAAGAGCATATTTCATCCTGGGGTTCACAAAGAGCATATTTCATCCTGGGGTTCACAAAGAGCATATTTCATCCTGGGGTTCACAAAGAGCATATTTCATCCTCGGGTTCACAAAGAGCATATTTCATCCTGGGGTTCACAAAGAGCATATTTCATCCTGGGGTTCAGAAAGAGCATATTTCATCCTGGGGTTCACAAAGAGCATATTTCATCCTGGGGTTCACAAAGAGCATATTTCATCCTGGGGTTCACAAAGAGCATATTTCATCCTGGGGTTCACAAAGAGCATATTTCATCCTGGGGTTCACAAAGAGCATATTTCATCCTGGGGTTCACAAAGAGCATATTTCATCCTGGGGTTCACAAAGAGCATATTTCATCCTGGGGTTCACAAAGAGCATATTTCATCCTGGGGTTCACAAAGAGCATATTTCATCCTGGGGTTCACAAAGAGCATATTTCATCCTGGGGTTCACAAAGAGCATATTTCATCCTGGGGTTCACAAAGAGCATATTTCATCCTGGGGTTCACAAAGAGCATATTTCATCCTGGGGTTCACAAAGAGCATATTTCATCCTGGGGTTCACAAAGAGCATATTTCATCCTGGGGTTCACAAAGAGCATATTGCATCCTGGGGTTCACAAAGAGCATATTTCATCCTGGGGTTCACAAAGAGCATATTGCATCCTGGGGTTCACAAAGAGCATATTGCATCCTGGGGTTCACAAAGAGCATATTTCATCCTGGGGTTCACAAAGAGCATATTTCATCCTGGGGTTCACAAAGAGCATATTTCATCCTGGGGTTCACAAAGAGCATATTTCATCCTGGGGTTCACAAAGAGCATATTTCATCCTGGGGTTCACAAAGAGCATATTTCATCCTGGGGTTCACAAAGAGCATATTTCATCCTGGGGTTCACAAAGAGCATATTTCATCCTGGGGTTCACAAAGAGCATATTTCATCCTGGGGTTCACAAAGAGCATATTTCATCCTGGGGTTCACAAAGAGCATATTTCATCCTGGGGTTCACAAAGAGCATATTTCATCCTGGGGTTCACAAAGAGCATATTGCATCCTGGGGTTCACAAAGAGCATATTTCATCCTGGGGTTCACAAAGAGCATATTGCATCCTGGGGTTCACAAAGAGCATATTTCATCCTGGGGTTCACAAAGAGCATATTGCATCCTGGGGTTCACAAAGAGCATATTGCATCCTGGGGTTCACAAAGAGCATATTTCATCCTGGGGTTCACAAAGAGCATATTTCATCCTGGGGTTCACAAAGAGCATATTTCATCCTGGGGTTCACAAAGAGCATATTTCATCCTGGGGTTCACAAAGAGCATATTTCATCCTGGGGTTCACAAAGAGCATATTTCATCCTCGGGTTCACAAAGAGCATATTTCATCCTGGGGTTCACAAAGAGCATATTTCATCCTGGGGTTCAGAAAGAGCATATTTCATCCTGGGGTTCACAAAGAGCATATTTCATCCTGGGGTTCACAAAGAGCATATTTCATCCTGGGGTTCACAAAGAGCATATTTCATCCTGGGGTTCACAAAGAGCATATTTCATCCTGGGGTTCACAAAGAGCATATTTCATCCTGGGGTTCACAAAGAGCATATTTCATCCTGGGGTTCACAAAGAGCATATTTCATCTTGGGGTTCACAAAGAGCATATTGCATCCTGGGGTTCACAAAGAGCATATTTCATCCTGGGGTTCACAAAGAGCATATTGCATCCTGGGGTTCACAAAGAGCATATTGCATCCTGGGGTTCAGAAAGAGCATATTTCATCCTGGGGTTCACAAAGAGCATATTTCATCCTGGGGTTCACAAAGAGCATATTTCATCCTGGGGTTCACAAAGAGCATATTTCATCCTGGGGTTCACAAAGAGCATATTTCATCCTGGGGTTCACAAAGAGCATATTTCATCCTGGGGTTCCTCTGAGAAAAGAAAGCTCGAGAGAGTACCTCGGGAAGAGGCAGAGCGGAGCAGCAGAGGGTGCAGAGGCATCGGCAGCGGAGGTGGCGAAGGAGGGGAGGCAGAGCGTGGGGAGGGGCGGCAGGAAGATGAGTGCCGACTGCCACACGATGATGAGACACATGCCGAGCGCTCCCCAGAACTCGAATAGCACTGCCACCATCACCTGGCGCACACACACATGCCGAACAGACGGGAGTGAGTGGGTAGGGCACACGTGGGAGAGAAGGGGAGGCCACACTATGATGAGACACATGCCGAGCGCACCCCAGAAATCGAATAGCACTGCCACCATCACCTGATGCACACACATATGCCGAACAAGAGGATTGGGAGGCAGAGGGTGGGGAGGCAGAGGGTGGGGAGGCGGAGTGGAAGGGAAGATGAGTGCCGACTGCCACACTATGATGAGACACATGCCGAGCGCTCCCCAGAACTCAAAGAGCACCGCCACCATCACCTGGCAGCAGGGACAGAGGTGGGGAGGGTGGGGGAGAGGGAAGGCAGACAGTGAGGAGAGGTTTGCGTACACTGACTAGTACAGACGGTCATGACCGGACCGGAAGAATGGCGCTTACAAACGAACGAACAATGAGCGTTCATGAAATGCTGGAGTAACGGTCATGCCACTCACAGCCCAATCTCTCATCTCACTTCCAGTTTCATGCCCCTATCTCCCATGACTGGAACGCTAGAATAACATGCAATAACGGCCATAACACTCACAACCCATTCAACCCACTCACAACGGGCTTGAAGGGCGAGCACAGGGTAGGAGGGCGGGGAGGAGGGCAGGAGGGCAACGAATGCACGGCAGAGAAGGCGAATGCACAACGCAGAAACAAAAGTTGGGAGCAACGGGCGTGACACTCACAGCCCATTCTCCCGGGGGGCCGAAGGCGAAGCGGGCAAGGGCAGGGTAGGAGGGCAGGGTGGAGGGCGGGAGGGCGTCAAATGCACGGCAGAGCAGGCGAGCAGTGGTGCAGAAGAGGGTGGTGCAGAGGGCGAGAACGAACTGTAGTAGTTAGAGGAAGGGGAGGAGGTTGGGGAGAAGGAGGAAGGCGGGTAAGACGAGAGGGCATGTGACTAGAAGCAGGACAGAGCAGGCGAGCCGTGGTGCAGAAGAGGGTCGTGCAGAGGGCGAGAGCAAACTGTGGTGGAAGGAGGGGGCGGAAGGGGTGGTGGGAGAGAGGTTATGTGTTTAGAAGGACGGCAGAGCAGACGAGCAGTGGTGGGAGAAGAGGGTCGCGCAGAGGGCGAGAGCGAACTGTGGTAGTTGGAGGAAGGGGAGGAGGGTGGGGGGAGAGGAAGAAAAGGGTGTGGAAGGAGGGCATGTGATTAGAAGCAGGGCAGGGCAGGCGAGCAGTGGTGCAGAAGAGGGTGGTGCAGAGCGCGAGTACCAGCTGTGGTGCATTGATTGGGGAGGGGGAGAGGGAGAGAGGAAGGGTTCGGGGTTGGGAAAGAAGGGGTTGAGAAGAGGAGAGGACATGTGATTAGAAGCAGAGCAGGCGAGCCGTGATGCGGAAAAAGGTTGTGCGGAGGGCGAGGAGCAGTTGTGTTGATAGGGGAAAGAGCTAAGAGTAGCTGGCAGCACGGATGGCTAAAAATATGGGAATGAGGGAAGTGAGGGGACGGTAGAGTGGACAAGGTGTGGTGCAGAGGGGGGTTGTGAAACAGAAGAGGGTTGTGCAGCAGAGGGCGGAGAGCAGTTGGTGGAGTTGTAAGAGGAATTCGGTGCTGAGAGAGAGAGAGAGAGAGGGGGGCGGCGGAGTCAGAGGGGAGGAGAGAGATGGAGGGAGGGAGTAAAGGGAGGAGCGAACTCACAAGGCTCGTCCAGCCGACTTTTGAGTCGACTCAAAAGTCAACTCGAGATGGAGGGAGGGAGTAAAGGGAGGAGCGAACTCACAAGGCTCGTCCAGCCGCCCAGCATGACTGCATAGCCCATGGAGAGCAGACCTGCCCCAACGAAAAGATTTATCTGCCCAAGGGCAAGGGCACGGAGAACATGGGTGCAGAACAGCGACGTAGCATGAATTGGTTGGGCTTTTTCTACCATCAGAATTGCTGCTTCACACTAGAAAAGCAAGACAAAACACGACAAGACAAGACAAGACAAGACAAAACATACAAACACACAGTAAGGGCATGATATAGAGGCAGTAAGGGCTCTAATCACCTACCGTGTTGAGAACGGTTTGGAAGTCCGTCTGTAGGTGCGCGCTTAAGTCCGCCTCCGCCTCCCCTTCCGCCTCCGCCGCATCAAATGCCCCCAGGACCTCCTGCTTCGACAGCCCCGGGCTGCGCGGACTCCGCAAGCCCTCCCCCCCACCCGGCCCTCCGCTTCCCCATCTCCCCCTCCTCCCCGCGCCTCCCGCTTCCAACCGCTCGTTCCCAAAGCTAATCCGCCTCTTCCGCGAATCGGCTTCCGCGCAGAGGTCGCTTCCCTCCGATATAGTCACATTCGCTGAGTCGACGCTCGCGCGTCTGTTTGGCGGGGATCCGCTTGCGGTGGCTGCGCCACGGGGTATTGTCAGGTTCACGCGCGCGCGATACTCATGAGATACTGCGGAGTCTGACGTGGCACGCGTGTTAGATTCCTGACCGCCTGTTGAAGGTAACAACGGTTCGCGAAGCATCGCGAAGAATAGCGAATAATAGTCTAGGTGAGTGGGAAGAGGAAGTTCGCACGGTCAGCAGACACCAGAGGGGTTACGCTACTACCACTACTCGGTCTCGAAATCGGAGGCTCAACAATTCGCGGCAATTAACGCACTCTCTGGCAACAAACCCAACTAGCATAACCTTGAGTTTGCCAAGATGTCTAATCTGGCAACTACGGGGCGCTCGAGAGTCCATGCACTGCCACGAACCGCAAACAAACGCAGAGCTAGAGATGTTAAAATCCTCGCCAAACCCCCTACGTGCCTGGTCAACTAGCCTAAGGGCTCAACATCCTAACTGCCACGTGGAATTATCATGTAAAGCTCCCTCGAAAAAGCGTCCCACGTGGTGCCCGTTTGACCTGCCAAAAGTGAACCCAAATCGCTTTTGCGAAGCCCGTACCTTGTCGTGCGGACTGTGTTACTTTTGTGTGCTTCGCAAAACCACAGTTCCGCTGACATCTTTTTCCGTCAGCACGAACCTCCCAACTTATTCAGGTGATTGGCTGCAGCTGAATTTTTGTTCAGCTGCTTGTCAGGCAGATTCAACTCCCTAGCTACACACACTTTCCATTTCGGTTTCCAGAACTCCACAATTCACATTCACGCTCCGCATTTCCCCATTCTATATTCCATCATTTTCAGCCCACACATATCCACATACTCCACATCGGTCGTTCTCATTCTACGCTCTCTATCGTTCTGCTCAAACAAAATTCGACGCGTGCATGCCTGCGTTGTGCCGGCTCCTTCAAGTATCAACGAGAATGGTTCTCAGTCCCCGTGCAGTGGCAGCTTCAGCTGCACCTAGTTCTAGCATACATGCTCTGAACTCCATTTGCGGTACTAACGCACGCCATGTGCTTTCGCTTCGTTTTTTTTTCTTCGCATGCTACTAATATGCTCGTCAGAAGCAGGGACTAAAGAACAATTTCCGGCTCTTCGTTCAACTAAGGTGGAAGCAGCCAAGGTCGTATCTGGCATTGCAACACTCTCAGCGTGCTTTCAAACATCACGTGACTACTGACTGTCTTTCTCCCGTGCAGATTGTATCATATTCTCCATGCGCGAGCTATGTCTCCCTCAATCCAGAGGGCTCGCACCCGAACGTTCCTATGCCGAAGGAGGCACTTCCATCCTCTTCAGGCTATCTTCCCGTCAGCGCGTCCACTCCTGAGTCTCGAATGTTCTATACATACTACGAGGAGACGGAACCGTTGAGATCTCTTTCAAAGACCCCGCTTCTTCTTTGGCTTAACGGTGGTCCAGGTTGTTCAAGTATGATAGGCAATTTCTATGAGATTGGTCCCTGGAATGTCGCTATAACAGAAGATGATATTGACAGCCTTCGCCTGAAAAAAAATCCATGGGCTTGGAACAGAAGGTGAGCTGCTGATGGATCATGGTATAACGCAATAAAGCCATCATTGATGCAGACTGACGCCTTGACTGTGTGTTGCGACAGATACGGCCTGCTATTTATTGATAATCCGATTGGCACAGGGTTCAGTGTCGCGGGAAGCATCGAGGACATCCCTCAAGACCAGCCTACAGTGGCAAAGCACCTCTATAATGCCCTATCAGCATTCTTTGACATGCATCCGAGCTTGTGTGGCCGTCCATTCTTTGTTACGGGGGAGTCATATGCTGGGAAGTATGTGCCTGAGCTCAGCTGCTTGTTGATGCAGCAGCAGCAGCGAGACCAGGGCCTTCCAGTGGAGTTAGCAGGAATCGTTGTCGGGAACGGTTTCACACACCCTCGGATACAGGTAGGTGTTCTGGTGGATATGATCAATTTGCGGCTGCTCTATGTAGCTGGTGAGACTGAAATTGCCGCCTGCTGCTTCAGGTTCAAGTTCATGAGCATGTTGCTAAGGCCTTCAACATGCTCACTGACCGCCAGGCAGACTACGTGAAGGAAGAGGCCAAAAGAGTGGTTCAACTCATTGACAGGTAGTGTTCTTGTGATTCCATCAGCATGTTGTCTGCATTGACTGACTATGACGTCAAATGGACAGGGAAGAATGGGAAGAGGCTCATTATGCACGCACCGCACTGTGTGAGTGGATAGAGCACAAAGCAGGAACCCCAACGTTGCTGGATATTCGGCGGCATGCCAAGTACCACGCGACACAGGTACTGCGGCAACAAGTGCCATAAAATTTCCCACAAAATTTACGTCACTCACCTTACTCCTCTAATCTTATTTCAGGGTGGAGTGGAGTACCTTTCACTGTTTCTTAATCAACCTCATGTCAAGGAAGCACTTCACGCTGAACCAAGAATTAACTGGGCCAGTTGCCGGCCACACATTCGACGCCACCTTGCTCAGGTGTGTGCTTCATTTGGATTCGTGAAAATTCACATCAGACAATGCCAATGTCTCAACCCATACACATAACTCGCTTGAGCAGGATACAATGAAGAGCAGCAAGAAAGCATTGGAGCAAGTGCTTTCAGCAGGTGTCCCTGTGCTGCTGTTTCAGGGCCTGTTTGATGCTAAGGATGGCCCTACCAGCTCTGAAGCGTGGATGCGCACTCTGTCCTGGAGTGATGCAGACAGATTCTGGGATGCCGAGCGAGTGGTGTGGCTTGTATGTGGAAGGAGAGAAGGATATTGGAGGCAGTGGAAGAATTTTACTCGTTTGATTGTGACCGGTGCTGGACACCAAGTGCCTGCTGACCAACCTGAGGCTGCAGCAGCTATGATCGAGACATGGGTGGAGCAACACATCTCACTGGGAAGGCCAATCTCAGAGGTGCATATCGATCAGCCCTTAGCTGTGGGGATTTAGCCCAAGCTGGCTCTAGAAGCTGCGATGGCCTCGCTGGGCAATGGTACAGGGAATCATGCGCATATGAGAACATGACTTTTGCACAAATGAGTTGTATTGGGGGGATATATATGTACGGAAGAGGTCAAAATGGCAGCTCCCTACCTCATCTTGTTGCCAGGGATGACTGTAGGGGAGGATCCAGCGCATACGTTTTCGGTTCCACTGCAGTTCATCCTGTGCGGTTTGTTGTAGAGGACTCTCCTCTACTTTGCAGGAACTGGGAGTTGTTCTAAACGATAGAGCACAGTCTTGGCTTTCCAACAAGCCGTCAAACACGTTAATCGCCCAAGTATACGCCGAGATATTGGCGTTCACGTGATTGCTAGTGCTCTTAGAAGCAAGGATAGACCTCTCTGGAATTTTGGTTCGAATGGACCATGTACAAGAAGATTCAGGATTTCAGTATAAAGCATGCATACAAGGCAGGTCGATTTATAGCAAATGCATTACATCGAACCGCACATGTAACATCACATCGCTACACTCGCGTCGCGAATGCGCCGCGTGTAACATTTTGGTTGGGGTGAAATTCGACCACCGAATTTCACACCGAACACACCGAATTCGCCTTGCACTTGAAGGTTGGAATGTGGTGCCGCCACGTGGCACCGAAGGGTGAGTCTCCCGAAGTCAATCGGTGCCACCCCACCGATCCCTAGTCAAAGGGATCGAAGGCACCGAAGTGCCCTCGGTGGGTTGGGGGCATACCACCGCCCCACCACCGTTTCCTTCCAACACTCCCCCTTGCACCCAAGCCACTAGGTGTTCATACCAACACGCTCACGGCATGCACGGAATGAATCCTTAGGGAGTGGTTTAGTGAGGAAATCCGCGGGTTGCGCCTTGGTGCTTATGTATGTGACCTTGACCTCACCTCTCTCGACCACCTCACGAATGAAGTGATGCTTCACCTCAATGTGCTTGGTACGCCCGTGAAGGACGGCATTGTGAGTGAGGTTTATGGCCGCTTGGTTGTCACAAAAGAGAGGAGTTGGGTCGGCTTGAGGATGCCCAAGCTCCGCTAGAAGGCGCCGTAGCCATATTGCCTCCATGGCTCCTTGAGTGAGTGCCATATACTCCGCTTCCGTTGTGCTTAGAGCCACGGTTGGTTGCAACTTGCTTTGCCAACTCACGGCTCCCCCAAGCAAGGTGAAGACGTACCCGCCGGTACTCTTGCGCTTGCTTTGATCACCGGCATAATCCGAGTCGGTGTAGCCCTTAAGCACGATTGGACCGGCTTCATATACGATTCCCAAGTTGGGTGTGCCTTGGAGGTAGCGTAGAACACGTCCTCCCGCACGCACATGCTTGGTATGAGGGTTGCTTACGGCTCGTCCAAGTACCCCGGCGGCGTATGAGAGGTCGGGACGGGTGGAAACGGCGGCATACATGAGTGAGCCGACTAGCGAATGAAACCGCTTCCCTTCGGCTTCGTCGAGGGCGGATTCTTCCTCTCCCGGGAGGCAAGAAAATCCCGTGTCTAGTGGCGTCCCCACCGGGTTGCTATTACCCATGCCGAAGCGCTCCACAACCCCTTTCACATATTTTTCTTGGTGGAGGTGAATGGTCCCGTTCGCGCGGTCGCGGTCGACGTGCATCCCGAGGTAGTACGTCACCGGTCCCAAGTCCCTCATGGCAAACTCCGCCCCTAGCCGTTGCTTGACCTCTCGAATGAGGTCTTTGGAGTCGGAGAAAAGAAGGAGGTCATCGACGTAGAGCAAAAGCACCAATTGCTTCTCCCCCTCCTTCAACACGTACAAAGCGCTATCACACACGCTACGCGCGAAGCCGTGTTGAAGAAGAAAGTCGTCGATGCGCTTGTACCATCCGCGTGGGCTTTGCTTCAAGCCATAGAGGGTACGCTTGAGCTTCCACACCCGACCGCTACCGTCATCGTACCCCGGGGGTTGCCGCATGTAGACTTCTTCCATGAGAAGCCCGTAGAGGAAGGCGGTGCAAACGTCCAATTGCTCCACCTCGAGGTTGAGAGATGCCGCTAGCGCGAGCAACACCCGAAGAGTGGAGGCCTTCGAAATGGGAGCGAAGGTCTCACTATAGTGCTCCCCCTCCCGTTGAGTGTACCCTTGCACCACAAGCCGCGCCTTGTAGCGTTCGACACCTCCATCGGCTCCCAATTTCTTCCTAAGCACCCACTTGCATCCCACCAAGTAGGCACCCTTCGGCGGGTCGACGAGCTCGAAAACATCGTTCTCCTTGATCGATGCTAACTCCCTCTCCATCGCTTGCTTCCATAGCGGTGCATCCGGGGAAGCCAAAGCCTCCTTGTGAGTGCGTGGGTTATCGTCGCCGATGGTCGCTAGGCAAATCGCCGCACTCTCCTCATCCGACTCCCCAACGGCGACCGTAGCATAGTCGGTTAACCTCGTGTTGGGGCGAGGTGTACGACGCCCGCGAGTCAACGCCAATGGTAGGGAAGAAGGTGCGGAGGAAGTGGCCTCCTCGGTTGGTGGCACCTCCTCGACATCATCATCGCACTCCTCGTTCTCTCCCCCTCCACTTTCGGCTCCCTTCTTCACGTGCGGTGAAACCTCCACCGCTTCATCCTCCTCTCGTGCGGGAAGGACGACGGTGAGTTGCGGCGTTTGTTTCTCCTTTGTCGGGAACTTGTCTTCGTCGAAGATCACATCCCGAGACGTGACGACGCGTTTTTCATCCAAATCCCACACTCGCCATGCACGCTCGTTCGCCGCAATCCCCAAGTAGATCGCCGCACGAGCTTTCGGTTGCAACTTGTGGCGAAGTGGATCCGGTACATGGTAGTAGCAAAGGCACCCAAAGGTGCGTAGGCGGTATAGGTTCGGCTTCGTTCCGGTCCATGCTTCGAACGGAGTCGTTCCCGGTAGCACCTTTGTTGGCACACGATTACGAATCCATGCCGCTAGCGCACTCGCCTCTCCCCACCACTCGTTCCCAAGCTTGGAGTGTTGAAGAAGTGAACGAACGGCCTCCATCAATGTGCGATTGAGCCGCTCTACCGCTCCATTTTGTTGGGGTGTGTAGGGTGTCGTGACGTCGTGCTTAATGCCCTTGCTTTTCATCCATTTTTCAAGCTCGTTGCTCACGAATTCGCCGCCACCGTCGGTGCGAATGCACTTGATCCGCTTCTTGCCGTCGTCGCAAACGTCGAGCGCCCACTCTTGAATCGCCTTGGCCGCATCTCCCTTAGCCTTCAAGAGTCGGGTCCAACTCATCCGCGTCGCGTCGTCGAGCATCACTATGAGGAACCGCGCTCCTCCCTTTGATGCATGCCGCATCGGTCCACACAGGTCCATGTGAACAAGCGCAAGCGGGTCCTTTGCAAGGGGTGAGGTACGGCTACCAAATGGCTTGCGAGCCATTTTTCCTTCGACACACGCCGCGCACACGCCCTTCTCGTCGTTGCCGGCGATCACGTCAAATCCCTTCGCAAGTCCTTTGTTGGCCAACTCTTTGACCGAGTCGTAGTTGGCGTGCGCAAGCCGATTATGCCACATTTTGAGAGTCGCCTTGGAGCCTTGCGCCACGTTGGATGAGGCCGTTGTCGGATGCGTCTTGAGTTGGTAGAGTTGTCCGTTGAGAACGCCTTGCGCGAATTGCTTCCCCTTCCAAAAGAGGTTCATCTTCGCGCCATCGATGGTGACCTTCACGTCTTTCTTTGCGAGTTGAGTGACGGAGAGTAGATTCACCTTCAATCCCGGGACGTGAAGCACGTTCGTGATGTCCACCGGCCCGCCATCGACGATGAGACGCGTACTCCCAACTCCAACCACCGGTAGCGATTTATCGTTCCCGAAGACGACGCGCTTGACGTCTCCCGGAGCACCGACGTTGTTGAGGAGCGACGCCGAGTGCGTCATGTGTTGTGTTGCACCGGTGTCGAGGAACCACGCGTCGTTTGAAGTGTTGATCCCGTCACCGGCCAACAAAACGAGCGACTCCGTTGAATCATCCGCCTCGCCGGATGCCGTGTGCGCGTTGCCCTCTTGGTTCCGCGCCTTCGATGGAATCCAATCGCTCGGCCGCTTCCGACATTCACGCCAAAAGTGCCCCGCTTTGCGACAATAATGACACTTGCTCGAACCGTTCGATGCGTTGCCCTTGCCGCGACCGTTTCCACCGGACGACTTCTTTGCCTCACCGTTGCTCCACTTGGACTTCTTTCTGGAGCTCCCTCCGGAGAACATGGCGGTCTCCACGCTCTCGTTAGCGAATTGTCGGCGTCGCGATTCTTCATGGAGAAGCCGACCGACCACCATTTCCTTCGTCCAAGTGTTTTGCACGCTATCGAGTGTCGTAATCACCGTCGACCACTCTTCCGGAAGGCCGCAAAGCAAGGTGAGAATCCAATCCTCCTCCGTGACCGTTCCACCGAGGTCCATGAACGTTTCCCCGAGTTCCTCCACACGAGTCGCATACTCGTGCATCGATTCGCCCACGCGCAACTTCACCGTGTAGAACGCATTTCGGGCTAGGATCTTGCCGTGGAGAGTCTTGTTCACGTGCATCGTCTCGAGCCGCTTCCATGCTTCACGCGCCGAAGCTTCGAGCTTGATGCACGTGCGCACCGAACTCACGAGGTTGATGCCGATGCGCGAAATCAACGTTGCGAACGCCTTTTGGTCCTTCTTCTTCCATGCCGCGATCTCGTCCTCGTTGACCGGCTTTTTCTCCGTTCCGTCGAAGAGACCCCAAAGTCACCGCTCCATCATGAGCACTTGGAACTTAAATTTCCACGCGGAGTAGTTTTGTCCCGTAAAAATCGGAACCGCCGACGTGTCGAACACCGTCGCGTTTGTCCAGGGTTCGCCGGGATTCGAGACGACACCACCTAAGGAAGTGCCGGAGGTTTCGCTTGACGTCATCATGCTTGCTACAAGTCGCGCACGTAGACTCTACCGACCACCTCTGATACCACTGTTGTAGAGGACTCTCCTCTACTTTGCAGGAACTGGGAGTTGTTCTAAACGATAGAGCACAGTCTTGGCTTTCCAACAAGCCGTCAAACACGTTAATCGCCCAAGTATACGCCGAGATATTGGCGTTCACGTGATTGCTAGTGCTCTTAGAAGCAAGGATAGACCTCTCTGGAATTTTGGTTCGAATGGACCATGTATAAAGCATGCATACAAGGCAGGTCGATTTATAGCAAATGCATTACATCGAACCGCACATGTAACATCACATCGCTACACTCGCGTCGCGAATGCGCCGCGTGTAACATTTCGGTTGGGGTGAAATTCGACCACCGAATTTCACACCGAACACACCGAATTCGCCTTGCACTTGAAGGTTGGAATGTGGTGCCGCCACGTGGCACCGAAGGGTGAGTCTCCCGAAGTCAATCGGTGCCACCCCACCGATCCCTAGTCAAAGGGATCGAAGGCACCGAAGTGCCCTCGGTGGGTTGGGGGCATACCACCGCCCCACCACCGTTTCCTTCCAACACGGTTAATCTTATTGCCTCTAGGTGCAAAAAGGTGAAGATTTAGAACCGCTGTGCACCAGTTTATATCGTCTCGAACATCGACGGATGAACTGTAAAGCACCTGGACCCGCCCTAATTAATAGAATTTGGCCACTAGTGAGGAACGAGATGCTGGATTCTGTTGACAGTATGGACATTATATCAGTAGTGCATGAACACCTAGGGCTACCAAGTGGAACCAAGGGGATGAGCAGAAGGCAGAAGGCAACAGGAATAGCCCAATGGATGAATATGTAAGGTCCAATCCAATGGCAAGGGGTAAAGGAGAAAAGCATTTGCATTATATGCACTTATGAAAGATACAAGATTACGCAGGGAGATCACAGGGCTGCCATAAAGCATCGGTCACCCCGCTGGATGAGCCTCGAGCCTGCATGGCTCAAGAAGTTTGAACATCTTGGAAATAACCCTGCCTTGTCACCTTGTGGCACCAGCCATAGCCACTGAACGCTCAGCAGCAAGAGACTGCACGCATGCAACATCTGAAGTTACCCAGGCAGTCCCCATGTACAAGCCATGCCATAAGGTACTAGATATATTACTTATTCGGAGCTTCAAGACCTCCCAGAAACCGAGGGAGCGGCGTACGGTGTCCACCAGTCCGACTGATACTTGGGATAAGGAGCGTCCCACTTGGCAGGCTTGTAGTTGTTCTCAATGGGAAGTGATTTCAAGGCCTCTTCCTGGGAGTCACACTCGAACTCGCCCCTGAGAACACGGTCCAATCTCAGCTTCATAAACCTGAAAGGGCCGGGGGGGAAATGCAAGCCAGGCAAGAGTGAGTGATCGTGACCACCATGCGTGAATCTCCTCACTCACAGCACGCGATATTTTTAGCGTATGTACTACGCACTGCCTGTCCCGATATCTGGAACAACTGTCGTTCAAGAGCATTGAAGAACACTTACGTCATCCAAACAGCGTCGGTGGTGACAAGAGCCACAGCAGGCCTGTTCACTCGCTTGGCGATCTCAGGGAAGCTCGCGAGAAACTCGGGCTCGTACACGAGCCAGAAGTCCTGCGGGCGACCCTGTTCGTGCAGCCACCTGAGTCGCTCCTTAAGCTGCTCCTGGAAGTGCTCCTCCTCGTCCAGCATGAACTTGGCGTTCGCCACAATGAAGTGGTACGTCGTGCTCGTGGTTGAGGCAGAATCAGCCTGCATTGTCAGGGGATTTGGTACACATTGAGTTCCATCTTAAGGCCTTGTTCATTTAGGGTACAAGTCGTCACCGGATTCACATTGCTGCATCTGTCGGACCGGCCCTGGCATCAAAATCGACGGAATCAAGCTATGAAGAATGTTACTTTACCTGCTTCTTTGCAACATCGACTGAAGATGCCTGAGCCCGGGCGACGACGGCTTGAGCCCTCTCCACCGGCTGCGCCTGGACGGAGGCGGTGCGGGTCTTCACACTCAATGGAGCGAGCGCCACGCGAGCAGTGCATTGTTCCTGCCTGCTGACGAGGCCACTGAGAGCGACAACCTTAAACTGGCTAGCGGCGATTGTGGTGGCTGCCATTATTGCTTGAGAACGGATCAACAAGGATTTGAGCCTTGTTTCGGGAACTCAAGCAGGACGTGCTAGGGGAGCAGGAAACGTGATGGATACACAAACTTGGAAGCACGCATTCACATTTCCCTCATGTTTATGCCTTGGGAGAAACTGTAAAATTTTGCGCAGAACTCGAAGTTCTCGAGGCGCAGGAATGCCCAGAATTCTCACCCTACAAGCCTGCTCGATGAGTTGGCGATGTGAAGTTCCGCTTCGCCTATAGCGTGGGAGCAGGGTCGGTGTGCTGGACGAAAGCGCACCATCCTAGTGGGCGACAAGGTTGGGCCCCTACACGTTTGCGACTAGCATCCCCGCGACAAGTTATCACGAGCCACGTGGAATATAATTTGCTTCAGACCAAATGCGTCAGCTGCGAAACAATCCCAAAATGGATGAGGAAATGATGGGCATGGCGAAGCCATGTTACCTGAACGCGCGACAGAAATCTTCTGAAACTGTTACACTGAACATATTTCTATCTTCCACTTGTACTGATCCACGATAACGAGTTCCTCGTCGTTGGTGGACTTTAGGGAAGCACAAGGCTCAGATCTATTCCTGTCTATGGTGCTTCGTCATCACCAGAAGCGAAGTTGCTCGTATCGCTCCACCCGGCGGACCATCTTCCTGTCATCAGCTAGGCTAGTCAGTTGCCACGTCGATTTTGGTGATCACAGATTAGGGCTCAACGTCCTAACCTCGCGGTTTCGTAGTCATCCTATTGTTTGTTCCTGGACTTCACATCGCGACTATGGCGACGCCAAATCCAAAAACAACGTTGTATGTTGGTGAGGCTGGTGGATTTCGTGAGCTAAAGGTTTTCGAGTTTAGAATTTCGCTGACATTGAAATTTCCGTCTTATAGATTTTTCATTGACTTACCTAGAATTCGTCAGTCCCGCGATAGTGCGATATTCTCGTCCGTGTGTTGCTGGCAGGAGGGTTGGAGGAGAATGTGACCGAGTCAATTCTCCACGCGGCTTTCATCCCGTTCGGCGACATCAAGGATATAAACATCCCGATTGATCAGGTAGCGAATGCTGTCTCTTTCTTATCTCGAACCCCTTTTCTATACGAGTAGTCTGTCTCTGGCCTACAATCCAATCACATTAGCCGCGAATAATTCGGTTAGCAGCACCCTTGCGGATGCATACGACAGCTAGTACACCCGCCCCACCCCCACACCTCCCCCCTCCCCCTCCTTCTCCTTCCCCTTTCGCCCCCTTTTCCGGCTTTCCCCTCCCCGTCCCTCCCCATCCCACCTCACGTCCCTCTTCCGCCAGACGACGCAGAAGCACCGCGGGTTCGGCTTCCTGACGTACATGGAGAAGGAGGACGCGGCGGCCGCCATGGACAACATGCACAACGGCGAGCTGTACGGCCGCGTGCTCACCGTCAACATCGCGCAGCCGCAGAAGATCAAAGGCGGCGAGCAGGGCTGGGCCTCGCAACCAGGTACAGTCTCGCAACCAGGTACAGTCTCGCAACCAGGTACAGTCTCGCAACCAGGTACAGTCTCGCAACCAGGTGCGGTGGCGTTTAGGGCACAGGAACGGGCGTTGCAGCCAGATACGCCGGGGTTTAGTAAGGATGGCTCTTGTGTTGGTTCTGGGATGGGCTTCGAGGGCAGTCAGGTGTCGTGTGTGCAGGCAAAGGGGCATTGTATGTTCAGGGTTGAGGGCTGGGTCTTGCAACTGGTCACCGTCTGGGTGCAAAGAGAGATGATTCTGGTGGCTGTAGTTAGGCTCATGATGCACGTTACTCAAGGGAAGGGTGTTTTACTACCGCCTGTCCAGCCTATGGTTGCACCTCACCCCACCGGCCTGCACCCCACCTCACCCTGCTTCACTGTTGTCCTTTCCGCTTGGTGACTTCCGTTGTCCCCACCCTTCTGTGCAAATTGCTGCACACTTTACCTCAGCCCTGGCACGTGCCAAGTTCCTTTCTTTCCCATTCCGCTATACATTCCACACCTCTGCTTTTTCATCCTTCCCCTTCTTATCTCTCTCTTCTTCCCCTGCCCCTTTCCTCCCCTCCCTCTTCCCTCCCCCCCACCTCGTGTGCCTTCCCTCTCCACATGTGTTTTCCCATGCCAGTGTGGGCGGATGCAGACACATGGTTTGAGCGTCAACAACAAGAGGAGGAGATTCAGCGGCTAAGCAAGGAGCAGAAGGCCGCTGCAGCAGCTGCTGCCAATGCTCCAAAGGGTGGTAGTGCTGCTGCTGATAGAAGCATGGAGGAGGAAGAGGAGGGGGATTCTGGGCCTGGTGCAGCTGATCCTATGGCTGCTGCTGAAGCTGAGGCTATGAACAAGACATGATAGTGTGCTTCTATTTGCTTGGCATGGCCCATACCACGTGTATGCAAATCGAAATGCACATGTGGTAGTTTACATTGTTTAGCCTTTAGGGAACCAGTGGTACACACCCAACAAATTGCTCATCAACGATCCCACAACATTGGAAATGTTCCTGTACAGGACAAGCACTGCACTGAGCAATACCTTTCTCATCATCCTTCTCCTTTCCACCAGTTCTCATGACTCCCCCACTCCTCTTGCCACCATGCTGGTTGCTTGAGGAAGGCGGGGTCCAATCTCGGGGCCGTTGGTAGCACTTTCTCCAACGATGGCCGTGCTTCTTGCAATAGAAGCACACCTCCTCCTGACCACCGCCACTCTCCTCTTGGGAGTTCTCATTCTGTTTGCCCTTCGACTTCTTTTTGAAGCCGCTCTTCCCACCTCCAACTCCATAACCAGCACCATCCCCTGAGTGCTCTACACTTCGGCGCCTCAAATCCTCTTCAAGGATTCGCGCACGAATGTAATCCACACTCCATTGGGATTGCTGGGAGTTGAGGTTGATGGCTAGGGCAGACCACACTCTTTCACCAAATCAAACCTCTGAACCTTCCCAGCCTTCCCAAGAGGAGGGTACCCTCCCCTCTACGGCTTCTGCACATTCGTCACGCCGTGCGCGATGAACAAATCGCCCTTGTACATCCCCGGGTCGCTCACCCGCGACCACGTCCTCCGCTTCGACCCCGCCTGCCCGAGCGCCACCCCCGTTCCGCGCTTCAGCCACCCCTTGCCCACATCGATCTGCACCAGCTGGCGGTCCTGGTAAACCGTGGGGAAGGACGAGCCGCTTCGGAGCTCCGCGAGCGTGAAGGACCCGTCGAGAACGTTCATGAGCACCGTGTCGAGGTGCGCTTCGACCTCCTCTTGGGTATCGGGGAGTTTGCCGTTGAAGTAGCGGAGTACGGCGGTGTTGTCGGGGATGAGGAGGGTTTTCGCCTCCGCGTTCGGGAGCACGTCCGCGCCGTATTTCGCGAGGAGGGAGTCTGGCGGGGGGAGGCGGGAGGAGGCGGGGGAAGGCGGAGGGAAGGCGGAGAAAAGGCGGAAGCTGGGTTATGGGCCGATCGCGGACAACAGCACGGGACAAGCGGCATTACGCTGCAAATGGAGCGCCGCGAGAGACTGACCCTGCTTCTTGAGCACGTATTTTGCGGCGAGGTAGATGAGCGAGAAGTTGGGGCGGCTCTTGAGCGCGTTCGTCAGCGCGCGGACCTCGTCGATGAGGCGCTCCGACGACACCTCCGCGGACACGAGCGACGTCGCGAGGAGCAGCGCGAAAAGCACTGCGAGCGCGGGCGATTTGTAGCCCATGGCGGCGGGTGCAGCACGTTGGTGCGCTAAGTTCGCTGGCTTGCGGTGGAGAAAGGTTCCGTTATAGCTGACGACGATTTTCACTTGCAGTCCGGAGAAAACACCTAACGAATTCACAAGCAACGGTGGGTGCTTGGCTCTCGCTTGTTGCCTGAACTAATGAAGGCGAGACGGGAAGCCATGACTTTGTACTACAGAGCTCTCGCGTGCGCAAATTGGTGGGGCGGAAGCGGGGGAGGTGGCTTGCGGTGGGGGAGCGCTGAGTAAGCGAGCAGCGCCAGCAGGTACAGATGGGGGATGGGCGAGGGGGTGGTGGTGCTTGTGGCTCGGAGCGGTGGGGCAGAAACATGCTGCGCTGGAGCCTGTGCTGCCAGAAACATTTTTGGGTTCGGAATGTCGTCGTCACGTCGGTCGTCCAAACCAGACCAATCGCGCCCCTCCACTCCCCCGCGTCGCATCGCACACACGGTTCAGCTTCAAACCAACCAAGCATTATGCTGGTTCGCCACCCATTCTAACCCAGAGGAAACGTACAGAACCACATGTTCGCACTTAGTTTTCCATCACATTATCTCCACCAGCTGTGTCGTGCGCATACTTCCAAACAAAGTTGCGACAAATTGGACGACCGAGCGGGCCTTTTTCGCACAAGGTCGCTGTGCGACAATCTGTTCATGGCAGGACTCAGGAGCTGTGCAGGGAACGAACACAGGTCCATGGATCGTGGTGCACAGTCAAGCACCAACTGTTCTCAGCCGTCGATGCAACAAACATTGAGGCACCACAACAGTTCTACATACAGGTCTAGGTTCAGTGACGGTGAACCACTTTCACGTAGCGGATAATCGATACTAGCTGATGCCGTATTACTATACTTCAATAGTTAATGTCGGTATCTGAACTATATTTTGAAACACTGATGTAGAAATGCATTTTGACACACCTCACCACACCACCATCACCCATCCATGCGCCGTTTCGCCAAGAGCAAGCCTGTGCATGCCGCCGTCAGCCAGCAGTAGTAACGAATCTGTAACGACTGGTGGCTATCCGACAAATTCACGGATCCCAGGCTGTTGTTGGTGTCAGCCAGCCACATCCACGAGCGCATCGCGCGACAGTGCCGATTTCGCTGCTCAGTTTTTCGGATTCCGTTCCGCCGCCGACTGAGCGATTTCAGCAAAGGCACGTAACCACTCTTCGCCAAATCGTCACGAGCCCCTTGTTCTATTCTAGCACCACGCGAAGGGGGGTAACCGTCGTCGTTACTGCCTCGTCTCTTTTGTCGTACATGCAGCTCATTCTTGTGGTTGCTCAGTGCGCTTCAGATTTTCATGGCAGAACAGAAGCTGTCTGGCCCGGGTTTCGGTCTAGGAGGCATCCTATCGACCTCCAGAATTTGGAGTTCAGATAACCAACACTCACCATCTCACCTCACCGCCATCATACCATAACTCCACCAACCATCCTATCCATTCATTCATTCATTCATTTCATTTATTTGTTTTCTTCACTCGAGGCGTAGTCCTTTCGTAAGGCTCCGCGCTTCGTTTCGTCCCACCCGATTTGTCCCGTGGGTCGAGCGAACCTACAGCACACCCTTTAGGGAATTGAGTATGTAATTTGCCTGCCATTGCTTCGCGCGCGTAGCCTCTCCGCACGCGACGGCAGAAGCAAATCGCGTTTTCCAGCACGAAGAGGGTATGGCGTGCTTGCGGCCTGTCAAAGGTCGATAAGCGTCGGACCCCGGAGTTCCCATCAAGGATCCATTACCGCGCGAAAAAAATCGCGAGCTCTCGTTCACTCCAAACGACCCCGCGAAAAAATTGTTGCGATTTGTCGCCCAAAGGTTCCGACGATGGTTTTCCGACGTTGCGCGACGACGAGTCGCAGCCGTCGCAGGGACCGACAGCTGTCGCACAGTCTGCCAGTCGTCGCTTTGGCGCTGCTCGCCTTCGCAATACGGCCGCTGGAAGGCGCCTCGAGCGGCGCCGGCTTCGTGAATTCATGTGAGCGCCGACATATTAAATTGACGGGCGGGACTTTGCGTCGTCTTTTAGTCTCCTCGTGAATCGACGGCTGATATATGCGACGCCAATATAAGGAGGCTGTGCAGGGCAGTCTCTTCGATCGACATGTTCATCGAAATGCCGAAGTTCTTCGCATTCCGTGAATGCTACGTGCGCTGAGCACGTCAGCAAATCTCATTTTCCTCCTCTTCTCCGTCCTGCTCTTCCCCCATCTCCGGTTTCCGCTTCCCCCATCCCCCCCCCCCCCCCATTCGCGCGCCAGGGGCAAATCATCTCCTCCGCTACTCCAGCCTCCCTCGCCACGAACAATCCACTGACGCGTCGCTCCTCCCATCCTCGTTACAGTCCGCCCCAATATCATCGCACAAGGCACCCGGCTCGTTTCTCCCATCCGCCCTTCCTTCCGCCTCCGCCGCCAAATCGCGCCGCGCCTCCACCGCCCCCGCGCTCCCCCAGCACCTTCCGCGTTTCCTCCACTCCGCGCATTCTCAACCATCCCCCGCCTCCGCCCCCGTGTGGCGCAACCGCGTCACCCTCTCCCGCGTAGCCGCGCTTCCGCCCGCCCCCCCGTCCGCGGGGAGCAGGAGGGTCGAGTTAGAATCAACGGTGAAGCGCAAGGCGACAACGACTCGGCCAAAATCCGTGCCGTCCACTTTGGGCGCTGCTGACCGTACGATGCTGCTGAGTCGGATGAACGATGCGCGGTGAGAGATGAAACGGGGGAGGGGCGAGATGAAACAGGGTAGTTGACACATGTGGTTGGGACGGGGAAGACGGGTGATAGATGAAACGGGGGAGGTGAGAGATGACACGACGTCAAGTGCGATTGAGACAAAATGCTGCTGAGCTGACACTCTCTCCTCACCTCTCACTCCTCTGCCTCCCTGCTTAAACATTCTCTCTCAATCTCCTTTCCTCTCCATTCCCTCACTCCCCTTCTCTTCCCCTTCTCTCCCCACTCCCTTCCCTCGTTCCCTCCACCAATCAGAGCGTCTGTTTCAGCCACAGCCGTCCCACGCCCATCTGCCGCACTCCCAAACCTGACCTGGAGCGACACCCTGGCAGGCTCGGCGCAGGCCTGGGCAGCCAAAGAAGCAGGTTCGGTGTGCGCCGGGCCTGTGGACGCGTTCGGCAGCACTCTGTCCCTGTGGTCGCAGCAGCCTGGCAGTGCGTATGGAGTGAGCTGGTACGGGTTTGAGTCGGCTGCTGCCTCCCCTGCCGGCAGCACTCCCTCTGACGCCCTCACCGCGTGGCTCTACGAGAAGGCCTTTTATGATGTGAGTGTGTGCGCGATATGAGAAGAAGACCAATCTGTGTTTCGTTTGATTCCCCAACGTTCGTGCGAATTACGTGTGCCTCGTCGCCTCTCTGCTCACATTCACACGTCCTCCACCCTCCCATCGCCCTTTACTCTCTTCCCTCTACTCTCTTCCCTCCAACCACCCCACGCGCAATGAGTGCAGTGACACGGACGACTGTGAGGACTACCGGCAGATCGTGTCCAGGCACCTCACACGTCCTCTCCCCACCTCCCTCCCCCCTCTCTGCTCCCCGTCCTTCCCACCCATCAGCCTGCCCGCAACCAGTGCTCTGACACGGACGACTGTGAGGACTACCGGCAGATCGTGTGCTGAGATGACTCACAGGTCCTCTTACCCCTTCCGCCTCTCTTCCACTATCTTCCCCTCTTCCCTTCTGCTATGTCTCATATCAGCCCGTACGGAACGAGTGCGCGGACACGGACGACTGTGACGACTACCGCCAGATCGTGACTTGAGACACCTCTCAAATCCTCACCCCTTTTACGCATCCCTTGCCTTCTGTTCCCCCCTCTCCCATCAGCCCGTACGGAACCAGTGCGCGGACACGGACGACTGTGACGACTACCGCCAGATTGTCTGGCGCACCACCACTGCTGTGGGCTGCGGCATGGTGAGATGCAGAGCGGTGCGGTGGTGTTGTGAGGTGGGGCGTGGGTGCGGTGCGGCGCTGTGTTGTTGGATGGGGCATGGTGCGGTGCAGTGTCATGTGTCATACGGGATGGGTGTTGGAGTTGGTACAGGCACCTCTACAACCACTGATGCGTCCCATCCGCTGCTCATTGCTCACCATTTTTTACACGCCTTAAAACGAGGTGACTTTTGAGTCGACTCAAAAGTCACCTGAGTTGATACAGGCACCTCTACAACCACTGATGTGTCCCACTGAGGAAGTGAGACGATCCATTGCGTCCCATCCGCTGCTCATTGCTCACCATTTCTTACACGCCTCAAAACCCGTCTCTCACCCCGCATTCGCTCGTCTCAATGCCTCTTGGATACACCGCCCTTCCTCTTGGCCTATCACACTCCCTCCTCCTCACCCTGCTTGCTTCTCTACCTTTCCCTCCCACCCTGTTCCTCTCACTCCCAGGTCACATGCACTGAGGCCAGCGCACCCATCCCAACGTCTCTCTTCGTGCTCCTCTGCTATTTCGACCCCCCCGGGAACCTCCCCAACCAGCACCCCTGGCTATCCCTCCCCTCCCCGCCTTCCCCCTCCCCTCCCCCTCCCGCCACCCCTCCCCCTCGCCCACCCCCACCCTCTCCTCGCGCCGCCCCCACTCCCCCCCCACCTCCCCTCCGCGTGCCTCCCCCCAAAGCCTCCTCACCTCCCCCTCCTCCCCCTGTGCGGAGCCCTCCCCCCCGCCTCCCCCCGCCCGCTTCCCCCAGCCCTCCCCCTCCGCGCTCTTCCCCCTTGGGGGTGACCAGCGTGGGGGAAGGGGGGAGAGAGACACTGCTACAGGGGATAAATGGAGCGAGGTGAGCAGGGGGAAGGGGGATGTGGGGGGGAGGTGGGCGGGGAAAGGGGGGGGAAAATGGTGCATAGCATGGCTCATGGTGGTAACCCGCGCGCTTCCCCCTTGGGGGTGACCAGCGTGGGGGAGGGGGGGAGGGAGACGCTGCTACAGGGAATGAATGGCGCGAGGTGAGAGGGGGGGAAAAGGAGAAAGGGGAAAGCTTGGTGCAAGGGAGGGGGTTACATTGTGGCAAGGCTTGTTTGTTCTGTCACTTCACCCCTATGTCTTTTAGCTTTTGCGCTCGTGCTTTTGCTGTCTTGCTTTCTGCCAATGTGTAATCGCCTAACCGTGTTTCTTCTCTCGTCTCCCACCCACACCCACCAATACTTCACCAATCGCAGACTAGCAGTCCCCTCTGCCAGCCTGTCAGCGCTGACCTGGAGCGACGCCTTGGCCACGTCAGCGCAACAATGGGCAGCCAATCAGACAGCATCCTTCTGCTCGGCCCCTCTAGACGCCTTCGGCTCAGCCCTCGCATTCACCTCAGCCATTCCTGTAGCCGCTGCCACCCTCCCCTCTCTGTTTGCTGCTGCTACAACCTCTCCTCTTGTGGGAAAGCGGAGCAGCAGCAAAAAGGGCAGCAGTGGGAGTGGCAGCAAGAGCAGTGGTACCAGCACGAGCAACAGCACGAGCGGCAGCAGCAGCGGCGGCGGCGGCAGTGCGTATGGAGTGAGCTGGTACGGGTTTGAGTCGGCTGCTGCCGCTCCTGCCGGCAGCACTCCCTCTGACGTCATCAGTGCCTGGCTCTATGAGAAGCAGAACTACAACGTGAGTGTGTGAGCAGGGGATGAGGTGTTAGTGTGTGAGCAGGGGATGAGGTGAGTGCATGATGAATGGATGAGTGTATGTGTGCTTCCGCCAACACTCCCTCTGACGTCATCAGTGCCTGGCTCTATGAGAAGCAGAACTACAACGTGAGTTGCCTTGACTTGACTGCCTGTGATTCCCACTCAGACTCCTTCCAGACATCTGTTCAGTTTAGCGTTGGTACCCGCAACTCTTCGTTCCCATCTCCTGTCCCCTCCTCATTCCCTGCTTTCCCATACCACTCTCCCTTCCTCCTTAACTCCTTTCTTCCCTTCCTACTTCCTCCCTCCTCCCTTCCCCTGCCTTTCTCTGCTCGTCTCTCTTCTCCTTCCTTCCCCACCCCTCCTCTACGTTCTCCCTATCTTAGATTCTCCTCCTTTTCCTTCGCTTCCCTGCTGTCCTACCTCCTACCCCCAATGTCCCATCCACCAGTCAGAAGCTGACACGTGTGCAGCAGGGGAGCTCTGCAGCAATTACCGGCAGATTGTGTGGAAGGCTGCTACAGCCGTGGGGTGTGGCATGGTGGGTGTAAGGCTGCTACAGCCGTGGGGTGTGGCATGGTGGGTGTAAGGCTGCTACAGCCGTGGGGTGTGGCATGGTGGGTGTAAGGCTGCTACAGCCGTGGGGTGTGGCATGGTGGGTGTAAGGCTGCTACAGCCGTGGGGTGTGGCATGGTGGGTGTAAGGCTGCTACAGCCGTTGGGTGTGGCATGGTGGGTTGTGGCACTTCGATTAGAACTGCTGCAGCAATCACCTATGCCTCTCCCTCTTCCTCTGCTTCCACATTCACTGCTGCGTCTTGCACCTCTCTCCCTCTGCCTATGCCTTTCGAGTCATCTCAAATCCCACCTCACTTATTCTTTCCTCCTGCCTTTCCCCCTGCCTCTTCCCATGCCTCTCCCCCCTTGCCTCTCCCCCCTTGCCTCTCCCCCCTTGCCTCTCCCCCCTTGCCTCTCTCCCATTGCCTCTCCCCCCTTGCCTCTCCCCCTCCCTCTCCCTCCACCATACCTGACCACATACCTACCAACCATCCCAGGTTACTTGTTCAGAGACCCGTGCACCGTCCCCCACCACCCTCTTCACCCTCCTCTGCCTCTTCAACTCCCAAGCCTCCTCCAACCTACACCCTTGGCTCGCCTCCCCTCCCCCTCCTCCCTCTCCGCCCTCCCCTCCTCCATCCCCCCCTCGCTCTCCCAACCCTCCCCCATCCCCACCTCCCCCTCGCCGCCCTCCTCCTTCTCCACCTCTCCGCTCCCCTTCCCCTCCTCCCCCTGCTGCCCGCTCCCCGCCACCCCGCCCCCCTCCCCCTGTGCTGCGCCCCCCTTCCCCTCCCCCCCCGTCCCCCCCCCCTGCACGAGGGGCGGGTGTGCTGGGGGGAGTGGGGAGGGCGGAGCTGCTGGCGCTTATCAACAGAGAGAGGTGGGTGGGGTGGGCGGAGTATTTTGTCTATTTGTGCGTGTGAACTTTGAGTCGACGTTAAGTCCCCCTGTGCGGGGGCCGTCTGTGCTAGGGGGAGGGGGGAGGGCGGAGCTTCTGGCGCTGATAAATCGAGAGAGGTGGGTGGGGTGGGCGGAGTATTTTGTCTGCTTGTGTGACTGCATGGGCGCATGTGCACAGATGCATGTGCATGGGTGGTGATGTTCTCGCTTTTCCAGCACCGTTTTTCCCCACTTAAAGGCCACACCCCGAATTACACAACGAAGTCAACGAAAAATTTGTAGGTTCGGAAAACCCCAGAAGGAGGTTCGGTGGGAAAATCGAGAACCAATCGCGTCAAAAACGCACTCAGAACTTTCGACCAATCACGCGAAAGTGGTGACAGTTTTGGAGCCGACACGGTAATTCTGGATGTGGCCTTTAACCACTCTTTACCGATCTTCACCACTCTCACCGCCCTTTGTATCCCCACTGTCACTTGCCTCTCTGCCCATGCCACCGATCTCGACCAATCAGGGCGTCTGCCAGCCTGTCAGCGCTGACCTGGAGCGACGCACTGGCCACGTCAGCGCAGCAGTGGGCAGCCAATCAGACCGCAGCACTGTGCTCTGCCCCTCTAGATGCCTTCGGCTCGCTCCTCCCTCTAGCCGCTACAACCGTACCTACAGCCGTGGCTTGGGGTGTGAGCTGGTACGGGTTTGAGTCGGCTGCTGCCTCACCTGAAGGCAGCGCTCCCTCTGACGCCATCAGTGCCTGGCTCTATGAGAAGCAGAACTACGATGTGAGTGTGTGAGCAGGGGATGCGGTGAATGCCTGAATGTACGAGTGTATGTATGCTGCCTGCAGCACTCCCTCTGATGCCATCAGCGCCTGGCTCTACGAGAAGCAGAACTACGATGTGAGTTGCCTGTCTGTGATTCCTCCACGTCTCTCGTCCTCCCTTGCTTCCTCTCTTCCTCCCTTCCTGCCTCACCTGAAGGCAGCACTCCCTCTGACGCCATCACTGCGTGGCTATTTGAGAAGCAGAACTACGATGTGAGTGTGTGATACGAGGAGCAGAAATAAGACGTGAGTTTCCTGCCTTAGTGTGTGTGAGCTGAATCCCCACGTTTTACTTTCTCTCACTCAACAGCTATCTTCTGTTGCATTTCTTCCTCCCCCGCTGTTTGCGTATCACCTTTCCCTCACCCCTTTTCTTGTGAGGCCGATGAAATAACGAATGAGGAATAATTATGTATAAATGTGTATATATATATAATACTTTATTCCTCAAGTCTTCTTGTGCCTACCCTCGCTTCCCCTCACGCCACCAGCCAACCACCAAGACCTTCTCCCCTTTTAACTCGTGCGACAGCTACCGTCACACATGTGTAAGGGGCGCCTCAAATGTACCCCCACCCCCCATGCCCCCCTTTCTTATCCCTCATCTCTTCTCCCCGCGCCACCAGCCAACCACCAAGACCTGCTCCCCCTTTGAGGTGCCTCAAGGAGGTTTCCCTCTCCCCCTGTCTCACACCCCCTTCTCTCCCCCCTGTGCTCACCTTCTCTTCTCTTCTCCCCGCGCCACCAGCCAACCACCAAGACCTGCTCCCCCTTTGAGGTGCCTCAAGGAGGTTTCCCTCTCCCCCTGTCTCACACCCCCTTCTCTCCCCCCTGTGCTCACCTTCTCTTCTCTTCTCCCCGCGCCACCAGCCAACCACCAAGACCTGCTCCCCCTTTGAGGTGCCTCAAGGAGGTTTCCCTCTCCCCCTGTCTCACACCCCCTTCTCTCCCCCCTGTGCTCACCTTCTCTTCTCTTCTCCCCGCGCCACCAGCCAACCACACCACCAAGACCTGCTCCCCCTTTGAGGTGCCTCAAGGAGGTTTCCCTCTCCCCCTGTCTCACACCCCCTTCTCTCCCCCCTGTGCTCACCTTCTCTTCTCTTCTCCCCGCGCCACCAGCCAACCACCAAGACCTGCTCCCCCTTTGAGGTGCCTCAAGGAGGTTTCCCTCTCCCCCTGTCTCACACCCCCTTCTCTCCCCCCTGTGCTCACCTTCTCTTCTCTTCTCCCCGCGCCACCAGCCAACCACACCACCAAGACCTGCTCCCCCTTTGAGGTGCCTCAAGGAGGTTTCCCTCTCCCCCTGTCTCACACCCCCTTCTCTCCCCCCTGTGCTCACCTTCTCTTCTCTTCTCCCCGCGCCACCAGCCAACCACCAAGACCTGCTCCCCTTTTGATTCGTGCGACAACTACCGTCAGATCGTCGGCATCACAACCACAGCCATCGGATGTGGAACGGTGCGTGTGGTGGCATGGTTGTGATGTGGGGCGGCGAACATGCCAATTTTGTCTGCTTCTCCTTGCTCGTTCCCCACTCATTTCCTCTCATTACCCTGGTTTTGTCTATTCATCCTCACCCTTTTCACCCACCCCACGTTTCCACTCTTCATCCCCCTCTCCTTCCTTTCCCATCCCTCATCTCCCTCCCCTCTCCTTCATCTCCCCTCCCCACATCTCCTTCCAATCTCCTTCCTCTCTCCTCCCCCTCTCCTCCCCCTCACCTTCCTCCCTTAGATCTCATTACTCTCCACCCCCCATGGTCTCTTCCTCTCTCCCCTTATTCTGCAGATTTCCTGCCTTGAGTCCAAAGCACCCATCCCCACCGCTCTCTACATCCTCATGTGCTACTTCGACCCCCCTGGATACACGCTAACCACCCGCCGCCGCTTCTAGTTGCAGTTTATTCATTTGTCGTTTATTCATTTGTTCATTCTACTCATTTTCTGGAGTGCTGGTCCATAATGTGGTGGCTGTAGCTTGTAACATATGTGCTGCTTTGTCATTTATACATATGGTATATACTTTTTGTATGATAACTCTGTTCGTGCGAAGCACGTAGAACTGAAGTGCGTGAGATTGCATTTCTCCGTAACCACTACAAGTAAGGCTACCCCACAGGACTCAGTCAGTATGACTGATACATACCGTACATGCACCAGCATTTGATACCTTACCTGTGTACCCTCTCCTGACAAATCAGAGAAATCCAGGTGGTTTGCCTGGGAGGGATTTACAGTACCAGTAACGTAACTTCATCGGGGCTGCAAGATAGCCCCCACATGTCAGGAGTTGACACGTTCCTCCTAATTCTCCAAGCTTTTTATCTCGGATGTATACGGTATCCATGACCCATCTGGCCTGAGGTTCTGCCAGAGCGCATGGAAAAGAAAGAACCCTGTCCTGTTGCATTCAGAAAATGCGACTACATGGTAGGCCCATTCTTTTGGGTTGAATTGAATTACTAGGTGAATGTCAGAGAGTCAAATCACACACGGGGGAGAAGAGACGGCCGTTGGTGCACCTAAGCTCGTGACGTGAATCAAGCTGCCTGATTCTGTGCTGGTATCGGATTTGCATAAAAGAAAAGGGGAATAAACAGGCGTGGTGTTGACAAGGTCATTTCGAAGGCCAATGTCAGAGAGTCAAATCACACACGGGGGAGAAGAGTCGAGTCGGCCGTTGGTGCACCTAAGCTCGTGAAGCAAGCTGCCTGATTCTGTGCTGGTATCGGATTTGCATAAAAGAAAAGGGGAATAAACAGGCGTGGTGTTGACAAGGTCATTTCGAAGGCCAATGTCAGAGAGTCAAATCACACACGGGGGAGAAGAGTCGAGTCGGCCGTTGGTGCACCTAAGCTCGTGAAGCAAGCTGCCTGATTCTGTGCTGGTATCGGATTTGCATAAAAGAAAAGGGGAATAAACAGGCGTGGTGTTGACAAGGTCATTTCGAAGGCCAATGTCAGAGAGTCAAATCACACACGGGGGAGAAGAGATGGCCGTTGGTGCACCTAAGCTCGTGAAGCAAGCTGCCTGATTCCGTGCTGATGTCAGCAACGAGGAAATCTGCGAGGGATGATGTCAGCAGGTCCGCAAAGAGAGCTGCTGCTTCTGACATTGCCTCTGCTACTGCTCCTACTGAGGCTGAACCCCCCAATCCATCTCTTTCCCCTCCTCCTCCTCCTCCTGCTCCTACTGCATCGGCTGCAGCAGCAGCAGCAGCAGCAGGCAGCAGAGAAGGTGGGTTGCGGGCGAGAGTGGAGTGTAGGAGGGCCCAATCGTGCTCCTCCAGATGCTGCTGGAAGGGCTGGGGAAGGGAAGGGAGGGGAGGGGAGCGTGTTAGGGGAGGGGGGAGGGGAGCGTGTTAGGGGAGGGGAGTTGGTGCTTGGGTTTTAAGAATGAGCAGCAGAAGGCAGCAGAGCAGGTGGGTTGTGGGTGAGAGTGGAGTGTAGGAGGGCCAATCGTGCTCCTCCAGATGCTGCTGGAAGGGCTGGGGAATGGAAGGGAACAAGGAATGGAAGGGAATGCAAGGGAACAAGGAACGGAAGGGAATGGAAGGGAACAAGGAACGGAAGGGAATGGAAGGGAACAAGGAACGGAAGGGAATGGAAGGGAACAAGGAACGGAAGGGAATGCAAGGGAGCAGGGTGGAAGGTAGGAGAGTTACTGTTTAAGATGCCGTTTCACGAGCATCTCAAAGAGCCGCACTCTCCCCACCCCAAGTCCAGACTCAGCCACTGCAGCTGCTGCAATGCTTGTGAGGGTGCTATGTGCCGTTTGATTTGAATGACTCGATTTTTTCGCTCACCGTATTGATTACAATCAATCACTCACTGTTTCACGTGCATCCCCAGACAGCCACACTCTCCTCAGGTTCAGACTCAGCCACTGCAGCCGCTGCAATGCCTGCGAGACTGCTGCCTGCCATTTGAATGACTCAAATAATTTGCTCACTGTGTTGATTAGAATGAGTCACTCACTGCTTCACGACCATCCCCAGACAGCCACACTCTCCTGAGGTTCAGACTCAGCCATGGCAGGCGCTGCTATGCCTGCGGGAGTGCTATGTGCCGTATGAATGGCTCGAATCACAGTGTTGATTAGAGTCAATCACTCACCATTTCACGTGCATCCCCAGATAGCCACACTCTCCTCAGGTTCAGACTCAGCCATGGCAGGCGCTGCTATGCCTGCGGGAGTGCTATGTGCCGTTTGTGCGGCTCGAATCACTCTCTCACAGTATTGATTAGAGTCAATCACTCACCGTTTCACGTGCATCTCCAGATAGCCACACTCTCCTGAGGTCGGGATTCAGCCACTGCAGCCGCTGCAGTGCTTGCGATACTTCTGCTGTCCGTTGATCTCCCCACTGTCCTGCTGTTTCTCCTGCCGTTTCTCCTGCCTTTTCTCCTGCCCCTTCAGTCCTTGCCTCATCCCCCCTGCTGACGTGTACAGCTGCTATTGGACGAGGCAGGTAGGGTTCCCCGCCCAGCGCTATAGTCACCGGGTCTAGAGTCAACAGATCGCCCTGCCCTATACTCGCTATAAGCTCATCCACTGTTGTTGTGTTAGCCATCATTGTAGCACCACACAACCTTCCCTGCCACCTCCCTCACTCTCTCCCTCACTCGCTCCCTCACTCCCTCCCTTTCCTTCGCTCCTCACTCTTCTCCCAGCACGCACACTCACTCGCCTCGGCCCGTCCCTCCCCACCCACACGTGGGTTTCCAGTAGGGAGGAGTTGGGGGAGTGGAGGAGAGAGGAAATGGTAGGGGAGGGGGAGGAGGAAGAGGATGGGGAATCGGAAGAAGAAGAAGCAGAAGCAGAAGCAGAAGCAGCAGCAAAGGAGGAAGCAATACGCGTTGAAAGCACATGCGCCTGTGCACTAGCCTTCCCAGCCTCAGTCAACACAGCCGCCTCTTCCGTTGTATTCGGCAGATTCTTAGAATAACGGACTGCAAACGTTGTATTGGTAGCGGCGGTTGTGCCAGGAACAGACCCGGATGAGAGGGAGTGGAAGAGATACGCTTGGGCAGCGACGGCGGGTGCCAGGCTGGCAGCCACGTGGAGCCCGGTGCTGACATGGCGCTCGCGGTTGATGACGTGGCAGAGGTGGAGGGAGGGCCAGCGGAGGAGGAAGCGGGCGGCTTGGGATCGCCACCAATGGAGCTGCAGGGAGGAGGGAGGGGGGAAGAAGGGGGATTGGGAAGGGTGGAAGAGAAAAGGGGATGAGGAAGGAAGAAGCGGGTGGATTGGGATCGCCACCAATGGAGCTGCAGGGGGGAGGGAGGGGAAAAAAGGGGGATTGGGAAGGGGGATGGGTGGAAGAGAAAATGGGATGAGGAAGGAAGAAGCGCGTGGATTGGGATCGCCACCAGTGGAGCGGCAAGTGGCGGAGAGGGCATGGTTGGCGGAGGGGAAAGTGGGAGCAGGAGGGGTGAAAGGTGGCTGGAATGGAGGGCGATTCTGGTGTGGGTAATGAGGGAGGGCCAGCAGAGGAGGAAGCGGGCAGCTTGGGATCGCCACCAGTGGAGATGCAGGGAGGAGGGAGGGGGAGGCGGGAGAGGGTGAGATTTCTCCTCAACCAACCTCTAGGATTTTTGTTTGAGCAACGATTGAAACTCCCATTTCTTTCTCATGGAAAACAAGTTCCGACCATTATCATCAACGAAAATCCGTCCTACCTGGGCTTTTTCCTCCAACATGGTGTATAGTGCGCCCTGCCTATCCACCATAACGGGTCGCTGCTTATGGGGATAGCCCCATCGGCTCACAACCGCTGCTGCTGCTGATTGAATGGCTGATGCCAGGGATGCTGACGCTGCTTCCCCTGGTGCCCCTGCTGATGCTGCTGCTTCCGAGACTACTGACGCTGATGTTTCTGATCCTGCTGCTGCCGGTGCTGGTGCTGCAGCGGAGGCAGCAGCAGGAGCCGTTTCAGCAGCAACCGGGAAGCTGCCGTGCACCGGTGCGGGTGCATCAATGGGTTCTGTTGGAAAGTTAGTATCAATGCACACAAACTCCTGAGGCGACGCCAGGTGCTGCTGCAGCTGTGACAGTATCTGTGACTGTGATTGTAATGAGGACTGTGACTGTAACGAGAAACAAGTGGGCATGTGACCGTTGGCTTGTAGGTGGGAGATGAGGGAGGAGCAGGCGGGTTGAGCGAGAGGGAAGAAAAGGCAGGTCCACTCGCCCGTTTGGTTCAGCTCTGCATGTTCAAGCAGAAGAATAGAGGGGCACACATAGGGAGGCAGGTGGGCATGTGACCGTTTGCTTGGAGGTGGAGGTATGCACAAGAACACACAGAGACACGCAGAGGGAGCAGGATGAAGAATGGGTGAGGGGAAAGAAGAAGCAGGTCCCCTCGCCTGGTAAATTCAGCTCTTATGTTCATAAGTGTACATTCTCCTCCTCATGAGAAGTGTACATTCTCGCATGAGGAGGAGCCTCCATGAGGAGGAGGAGCCCCCATGAGGGGCAACGTGCGGTTGTGCTGCACTGGTCCTTCCACCCACCCCCATAATCACCCACTCCCCCTATAGACAATATTGGCTAAATCACGCACCCCTGCAATCACTGTTGAGAGCTGGCCCGTAGCTGCCAGGCAGGGCGACCAACGTGCGGTTGTGCTGCATTGGGCCTCACATTCACCCAATAATCAACGACCCCTATAATCAGGCACCCTTCTCCCACTCAATCACCTCACCCCCCCCCCCCCCCCAATACAATCACACCACCTCTGCAATCACTGTTGAGAGCAGGGCCGTAGCTGTCAGGCAGGGCGACCAACGTGCGGCTGTGCTGCACTGCCGCGCCCACCCCCACTATAATTATCCAGAATCACCCACCGCGGCAATCACTGTTGAGAACCGGCCCGTAGCTGCCAGGCAGGGCGACCAACGTGCGGTTGTGCTGCATTGGGCCTCACATTCACCCAATAATCAACGACCCCTATAATCAGGCACCCTTCTCCCACTCAATCACCTCACCCCCCCCCCCCCCCCCAATACAATCACACCACCTCTGCAATCACTGTTGAGAGCAGGGCCGTAGCTGTCAGGCAGGGCGACCAACGTGCGGCTGTGCTGCATTGCCGCGCCCACCCCCACTATAATTATCCAGAATCACCCACCGCGGCAATCACTGTTGAGAACCGGCCCGTAGCTGCCAGGCAGGGCGACCAACGTGCGGTTGTGCTGCATTGGGCCTCACATTCACCCTATAATCAACGACCCCTATAATCAGGCACCCTTCTCCCACTCAATCACCTCACCCCCCCCCCCCCCCCCAATACAATCACACCACCTCTGCAATCACTGTTGAGAGCTGGACCGTAGCTGCCAGGCAGGGCGACCAGCGTGCGGTTGTGCTGCATTGGGCCTCACATTCACCCAATAATCAACGACCCCTATAATCAGGCACCCTTCTCCCACTCAATCACCTCACCCCCCCCCCCCCCCAATACAATCACACCACCTCTGCAATCACTGTTGAGAGCAGGGCCGTAGCTGTCAGGCAGGGCGACCAACGTGCGGCTGTGCTGCATTGCCGCGCCCACCCCCACTATAATTATCCAGAATCACCCACCGCGGCAATCACTGTTGAGAACCGGCCCGTAGCTGCCAGGCAGGGCGACCAACGTGCGGTTGTGCTGCATTGGGCCTCACATTCACCCTATAATCAACGACCCCTATAATCAGGCACCCTTCTCCCACTCAATCACCTCACCCCCCCCCCCCCCCCCCAATACAATCACACCACCTCTGCAATCACTGTTGAGAGCTGGACCGTAGCTGCCAGGCAGGGCGACCAGCGTGCGGTTGTGCTGCATTGGGCCTCACATTCACCCTATAATCAACGACCCCTATAATCAGGCACCCTTCTCCCACTCAATCACCTCACCCCCCCCCCCCCCCCAATACAATCACACCACCTCTGCAATCACTGTTGAGAGCAGGGCCGTAGCTGTCAGGCAGGGCGACCAACGTGCGGCTGTGCTGCATTGCCGCGCCCACCCCCACTATAATTATCCAGAATCACCCACCGCGGCAATCACTGTTGAGAACCGGCCCGTAGCTGCCAGGCAGGGCGACCAACGTGCGGTTGTGCTGCATTGGGCCTCACATTCACCCTATAATCAACGACCCCTATAATCAGGCACCCTTCTCCCACTCAATCACCTCACCCCCCCCCCCCCCCCCAATACAATCACACCACCTCTGCAATCACTGTTGAGAGCTGGACCGTAGCTGCCAGGCAGGGCGACCAGCGTGCGGTTGTGCTGCATTGGGCCTCACATTCACCCAATAATCAACGACCCCTATAATCAGGCACCCTTCTCCCACTCAATCACCTCACCCCCCCCCCCCCCCCCAATACAATCACACCACCTCTGCAATCACTGTTGAGAGCTGGACCGTAGCTGCCAGGCAGGGCGACCAGCGTGCGGTTGTGCTGCATTGGGCCTCACATTCACCCAATAATCAACGACCCCTATAATCAGGCACCCTTCTCCCACTCAATCACCTCACCCCCCCCCCCCCCCAATACAATCACACCACCTCTGCAATCACTGTTGAGAGCAGGGCCGTAGCTGTCAGGCAGGGCGACCAACGTGCGGCTGTGCTGCATTGCCGCGCCCACCCCCACTATAATTATCCAGAATCACCCACCGCGGCAATCACTGTTGAGAACCGGCCCGTAGCTGCCAGGCAGGGCGACCAACGTGCGGTTGTGCTGCATTGGGCCTCACATTCACCCTATAATCAACGACCCCTATAATCAGGCACCCTTCTCCCACTCAATCACCTCACCCCCCCCCCCCCCCCCCAATACAATCACACCACCTCTGCAATCACTGTTGAGAGCTGGACCGTAGCTGCCAGGCAGGGCGACCAGCGTGCGGTTGTGCTGCATTGGGCCTCACATTCACCCTATAATCAACGACCCCTATAATCAGGCACCCTTCTCCCACTCAATCACCTCACCCCCCCCCCCCCCCAATACAATCACACCACCTCTGCAATCACTGTTGAGAGCAGGGCCGTAGCTGTCAGGCAGGGCGACCAACGTGCGGCTGTGCTGCATTGCCGCGCCCACCCCCACTATAATTATCCAGAATCACCCACCGCGGCAATCACTGTTGAGAACCGGCCCGTAGCTGCCAGGCAGGGCGACCAACGTGCGGTTGTGCTGCATTGGGCCTCACATTCACCCTATAATCAACGACCCCTATAATCAGGCACCCTTCTCCCACTCAATCACCTCACCCCCCCCCCCCCCCCCAATACAATCACACCACCTCTGCAATCACTGTTGAGAGCTGGACCGTAGCTGCCAGGCAGGGCGACCAGCGTGCGGTTGTGCTGCATTGGGCCTCACATTCACCCAATAATCAACGACCCCTATAATCAGGCACCCTTCTCCCACTCAATCACCTCACCCCCCCCCCCCCCCAATACAATCACACCACCTCTGCAATCACTGTTGAGAGCTGGACCGTAGCTGCCAGGCAGGGCGACCAGCGTGCGGTTGTGCTGCATTGGGCCTCACATTCACCCAATAATCAACGACCCCTATAATCAGGCACCCTTCTCCCACTCAATCACCTCACCCCCCCCCCCCCCCAATACAATCACACCACCTCTGCAATCACTGTTGAGAGCTGGACCGTAGCTGCCAGGCAGGGCGACCAGCGTGCGGTTGTGCTGCATTGGGCCTCACATTCACCCAATAATCAACGACCCCTATAATCAGGCACCCTTCTCCCACTCAATCACCTCACCCCCCCCCCCCCCCAATACAATCACACCACCTCTGCAATCACTGTTGAGAGCTGGACCGTAGCTGCCAGGCAGGGCGACCAGCGTGCGGTTGTGCTGCATTGGGCCTCACATTCACCCAATAATCAACGACCCCTATAATCAGGCACCCTTCTCCCACTCAATCACCTCACCCCCCCCCCCCCCCCAATACAATCACACCACCTCTGCAATCACTGTTGAGAGCTGGACCGTAGCTGCCAGGCAGGGCGACCAGCGTGCGGTTGTGCTGCATTGGGCCTCACATTCACCCAATAATCAACGACCCCTATAATCAGGCACCCTTCTCCCACTCAATCACCTCACCCCCCCCCCCCCCCCAATACAATCACACCACCTCTGCAATCACTGTTGAGAGCTGGACCGTAGCTGCCAGGCAGGGCGACCAGCGTGCGGTTGTGCTGCATTGGGCCTCACATTCACCCAATAATCAACGACCCCTATAATCAGGCACCCTTCTCCCACTCAATCACCTCACCCCCCCCCCCCCCCCAATACAATCACACCACCTCTGCAATCACTGTTGAGAGCTGGACCGTAGCTGCCAGGCAGGGCGACCAGCGTGCGGTTGTGCTGCATTGGGCCTCACATTCACCCAATAATCAACGACCCCTATAATCAGGCACCCTTCTCCCACTCAATCACCTCACCCCCCCCCCCCCCCAATACAATCACACCACCTCTGCAATCACTGTTGAGAGCTGGACCGTAGCTGCCAGGCAGGGCGACCAGCGTGCGGTTGTGCTGCATTGGGCCTCACATTCACCCAATAATCAACGACCCCTATAATCAGGCACCCTTCTCCCACTCAATCACCTCACCCCCCCCCCCCCCAATACAATCACACCACCTCTGCAATCACTGTTGAGAGCTGGACCGTAGCTGCCAGGCAGGGCGACCAGCGTGCGGTT